ACAGCTGAAGTTTGTCTGCACTGATTTACAGCTGAAGTTTGTCTGCACTGATTTACAGCTGAAGTTTGTCTGCACTGATTTACAGCTAAAGTTTGTCTGCACTGATTTACAGCTGAAGTTTGTCCACACACTGACTGACAGCTGACATTTGTCCAAACTGCACTTTGATGCAACACAACAATGATCTCGAACACAGCAGCAAATCTACAACTAAAAATAAAAGAATAAATATTTTGCAGTGGGCCAGGTAAAGTCCAGACCTCAGCCTGGCTGAAAAGCCTAGGTGGGGCTTTTAAGAGAGCTGAGCACTCTGAGCACTAAACCTTTTTATTCAGGCAGGCTTTTAATACCTAGTAGGTCTTTGACAATTTTGCTATGTTTTAATTGTTTTTGTTTTTAACTGACTGATTTTTTTATTATTCTTGTTTGTTTTTAACTTCTGTACTGTGCAGCACTTTGTGCACCTTTTGGCTGCTGGAAAGGGCTCTATAAATAAAGTTTGATTGATTGATTGATTGGTTGAGCACAGACAAAAATCTGCAAACCTCACGAAACAAAGTTGGAAAGAAGATGGTAAATGGTCTGTACTTATACAGTGCTTTTCTATCTTATTTCAAGATACTCAAAGCTCTTTACAACAATCTGTACCTCATTCACCCATTCATATAGCTCTATACTAGATCTCTGCAAAGATAATTGAACAAATCATTCTAAAGAGACTAATCAGAGCTTTATCACATTCATCACATTCATACACTGATGGGACACACATCAGAGGCTAGGAGGGGTTCAGTGTCTTGCCCAGGGACACTTCAGCATGTGACTGCTGGTGGATTCGAACCCCCAACTCTTGCATTGGAGGACGACTGCTCTAACCACTCAGCCACAGCCGCCCCACAAAGATTGGGTCAAAATTCCTCCACAACCATGTGAGAAACTAAAGTAGTCCTGTAGAAAAACAGATTTGAGTTGAAGTTCTAAAAGCCGCTGACTCAGCGTTTGGACTCTGTTCTTCAAACACAGCTTTTCTATTTCATCCATCCATCCATCCATTATCTTCTGCTTATTCCGAAGTCGGGTCGCGGGGGCAGCAGCTTGAGCAGGGGGGGGTCCAGACATCTCTTTCCACAGCCACTTCTTCCAGCTCTTCTGGGAGGATTCCAAGGTGTTACCAGGCCAACCGAGAAACATTGTCTCTCCAGCTTGTCCTGGGTCTTCCTCGGGGTCTCCTCCCAGTTGGACATGCCCAAAGCACCTCCCTAGGGCGGCGCCATGGGAGCATCCTTACCAGATGCCCGAACCACCTCAACTGGCTCCTCTCGATGTGGAGTAGCAGTGGTTCTACTCTATTTCAGCTTAATTTCTATTTAACAAATAAAGACATGGTAAAAATCTGTCATAGTTTTCAACATTTGAGGTCCGATTGAATATTTTAGAACCTGGTAAAGACCAGATCACTAATATTATGTCCTGACATGTAAAACCATCAAACTCAAAAGGGTGGACTTTTCTTTCATCGTTTATAAAAATGGTGAAAATCTACAACATTGTTAGTTTCTGAATTGTTTGATGGATTTTCTTACAATCTGGGTAAATCTTTAACAGTTATGCTGTGGAAAAACAAATGTGTCTGTCCTGAATGAAGAAGAATATGAAAAGACAAATATGTTCCTGCCTGAGAGATTTCCTGTGCCCATATCTGTTTGGAAACAGAAAAGGAGAAAGATAAATGAGTAATTCAAACAGCAAACGGTAACTTCTGTCAGAGTTCATGTTTAACAATCACCGACCTTCAGCCATTGAACACGCAGGAAGCTGAACATGTAGGAGACGTGGAACAAGTGGTCAGCTTCCAGCTGGGCTGCATTCAGGTTCTGACAAAAATGACCAAAGAAAGGGGATTAACTAAACAATATGTGCTCAAAGATAAAAGCTTGTGTCGATCTTTGCTCTAATTATTATCAATAACACAACTCCAACTCACTCTGGCTTCTCTGTCAGCGTCGTGGGCTTTCCTCAGCCTGTTCTTGGCTATATCCAGGTCCAAACGCTTGTTCACCAACAGCTTATGCTCATTCTGTTAAGTTAACAATCCAAGTGGTTCAGAACCAAGACTTCTAACAAGAAGAGCTGGAGACAGTAGGTGTTTCACCTGTATGACTCTGTACTCCCCCTCAGTGAAACTTCTCAGAGGGGTGAGAAAATGAATGTTGGTGCTTTTCACAAACTTCCTCTCCGTCTCTCCAAGCTGCTTCTGGGTCTCACCCCACTTTATCAGCGCCGTTCCTGTACACGAACGCTGACATTGATCGTTTCCACATAGGAGGAGAGGATCAAACAAAACTGAACTGCGGACTCACCGTAGGGTGTGTTAGATCCGATCTCCAGCCCAGCCTGAGTCAGCTGATCTCCCAGTAACTCGCGGGCACGTGGCCGAGGAGGGACGCTCCATTCCAGATGCTCGTAGAGCCGCTCCTCTAACCGAGCTCCTGCCAGCCAAAGATCATACATCTCATTATCAAATTCAAAGGATTATAATGGATTAATATTTGGGAGCAGCCAAAGAGCACACAGTTAATAATAGCAGTCATTAACATATGACTAAACAGAACTGTTGACGTGCACATTATTTTAATAAACAATGTGCAAAATGCTTCTGTTTACATACATCTGTAGCGGGAAGGGTTAGTAATAGTTAAAATTCTTTATGAATTTTATTTTGAAGGGGCACCACTCTCAGCTCTGAGAGAACATCTGAAAATCAATTGAGATGTTTAATTACCTCGAATTACCCTTTTTACACCGTGAGTTCTTTTATATGAAGGATTCAGATGTCATAAGAAAAACACACGCTTTTATTCCATTTTGTGATGTTTATTTGACTATATATGGTATGGTATAAAGTTTATTCATTTTAAAAAAGTACAAAACAATTCCATAACAATATAAAAAAAGATACAAGAGATTTAAAATGAAAGGCAGCAGAAAGAAGAAAAAATCTTATTATATCTGCCCCTTTTTTCAAACAATTATTTCAGACATAATAATTTTCAAGTAACAGAACAAAATGAATAACTCTTTCTAATTTTTCTCATTCTAATACAAAACACACACTAAGCTACTTCATTTTTTTTCAACAATCCAGTTTTGATCTTTTTCTTAAATGTGCACAATGACTTGGCATTTTTCACATCACTCTCTAGAACATTCCACAATCCAACTCCTTGGATTGAGGTAGACCTTCCCTTCAGACTAGTTCTGAATGTTGGTTTGACAAATATCTCTATCCCCTTAAGATTGTAACAACTTTGTCTTTTAACAAAATTTCTTTGGATATTTAATGGTAATGTGTTATTTTCAGTCCTATACATAACTGATAAAATACTATAATCTACCAAATCATGGAACTTCAATAACTTCAGTTGATAAAATAATGTGCTTGATGGGTGACAGTAATGCTTTCTGGTGATAATTCTTACAGCTCTTTTCTGTAAAATAAAAATAGGTTTTGTAAATGTTTTACACGCTTTCCCCCAAACATCAATGCAATAGATTAAATGTGGAACAATGATTGTGTTATACAACATGTACAGAGCTTTATCATTTAATAATTCCCTGACTTTGTATAGTACTGCAATAGATTTAGATATTTTTGTTCTTACAGAATTGATGTGATTTTTCCATGTTAGCTGTTCATCAATGATTACACCCAAAAATTTCATCTCATTAACTCTACAAATCTCAACACCCTCAATTTTAAATGGATCATCAACAGTTCTCTTTTTGTTGCTAAATATCATGTATTTAGTTTTATCTAAATTTAATGATAATTTATTAAGTTTAAACCAAGTTTGTATTTTATCAAATTCTGTCTTCATCAATTCCAACATCCGTTTTACATCTTTACCCAAACAAAAAAATGTGGCGTCATCTGCAAAAAGGACACATTTGAGGAGTCCTGATACATTCACTAAGTCATCCACATATAAAATAAATAACTTTGTTCCAAGTACAGAGCCTTGAGGAACTCCACAAGTGATATTGCACAGGTCAGATCTTACACCATTTATTTGTACAAACTGTTTCCTATCTTTTAAATAGCTAGATACCCAGTGTAATGCTGGTCCTCTTATACCATATTTATTTAATTTTTCAAGGAGAATAGTGTGGTCAATAGTATCGAATGCTTTTTTTAAATCAACAAAAATACTAACACAATACTGTTTTTGATCGACAGCAGTAGTTATTTGTTCCATTATTTCCATGAGAGCCATTGATGTAGAGTTTTTTGCTCTAAACCCATACTGACTGCTACTTAGAATGTTTTGTTTAGTAATAAATTTATCTAATCTGGTCACAAATAGTTTTTCTAGAATTTCTGAGAACTGTGGTAATAAGGATATTGGTCTATAATTATTGAACACACATTTATCACCATTTTTAAAGAGAGGAACTACCTTAGCTACTTTCATATTGTCTGGAAATATTCCTTTTGAAAATGATAAATTACAAATATATGTAAACGGCTCGATAACATAACTCATTATGTCCTTTACAAACATCATATCCATGTCCACCCAGTCTTTTGATCTCTTATCTGTAAGATTTTTTACAACATTCATTATTTCTTCTTTGTCAGTTCCATTAAGAAAAATACTGTTGTCACAACTTATAACTGAATGGTTCACATTATTGTCTACTTTTGGTATTTTAGCTGCAAGGCTTGATCCAACGTTCACAAAATGATTAAATCCATTTACAATTTCATTTTCATCATGGATGAAAAAATAAAAAATAAAAATGACTTGTAAAAACCCTTTGACGTCACTAATAAAAAATATTGTGAAATACCTGTTTTTGCTTTATAACTTTTCAGAACACTATTTATTACTCGCCATGTAGCTTTTATATCACCATTACTTTTATTTAATAAATCACTATAATATTCCTTCTTTTGTTGCCTTATAATCCCTACTAATTTATTTTTATACTTCTTGTATTTATATTCAGCCTCTTGTGTTCTCAATTTCAAGAAACATGTATACAAATAATTCTTTTTTTTTTTATAAGCATTTCTCAACCCTTTCGTCATCCATGGTTGGTCATGTAGTGGACTAGGCCTCCGACCAAAACCTGCCTCTGAGGACCTTCATGGGACAGGAACTGTTATTTCATTGATTTGAATCCAGAAATACAAATTAGCTCATCCAGAGACTTTCTAATTGTATCCTGAACTAATCAATTGAAAGAACACTCTTTTTTATATTATCATTACTATTTTACAATGTCTTGATAATCAAAAGTGTGTTTAGTTCATACCATTTTTAAATGTTGAAGTGAACCACTCATTTTAAATCAACTGTGAATGTAACAAATCTGTATGGATCAGCACAACACCTGACTCAGGACAATATTAAAATAAAAAGGTTTTATTTATTAAAGGCGTTCGTCTGAAGGATCTGAGCCTCAGTTCTGGTCCAATCTACGAAGACAGACAGGTTAGTGACTGCAAAAAGGTTCTGGGAGCTGAGAGAGGTGGTGTGCACGTCACTAACCTTCTGTGGCAGGAGCAGAGCTGAGACAGAGAACGTTGGAGGGCTGGGCAGGAAACAGAATCCAGGGACGTAGCAGGGGTCGAGAGCCAGGAGCTGTGTGAACAGGCAAAAGGATGATCCGAGGTCGTGGTCGAAGAGGAGAGCGAGGTTGTACCATGTAGGCCGAGAG